ATTTTTATTGTATTTATTTATTTACTTATATGCGTGCTGAGAATTGAACCCAGTTCCTCCCCCATGCTAGGCAAGAGCTCTACCACTGAGCTAGAACCCCATCCCAAGTAGAGATATTAATACCCTACATGTCAGTATAGTATTCAGCTTGGCTTCTTGAGATACTAACAGTGCCTGACTTATTTGTTTGGGTGGAGTTATACTGCATTTACACCTTTAATGAACCTTTTCCAAATATTTTTTATTTCACAACAAAAATTTTTTAAAGAAAGAAAGACTTGATTATTTGGTGAATCTGCAAATACAGAAAGAAATTTATCCTCTGTCCAACAGTTTAGATATAAATCCAAATGTAATGCAGCAAAGGAAGCAGTGAGCAAAGCTGGCATGTATTAACTTAAGCAAAAAGAATAGCATGAACAATGCTTATAAAATAAAAGTTATCACGAACATCAACTTGAAACAACTTAAGGCAATTAGATGATGGGGCTAAGTTAAATATTTGTTTGAGGATGGCAGGGATACTACAGTGAAAGGTTAAGAATGTAAAGGTTAAGTTTTGTTTTCTTGGTTGAAGTTCTGTTTTCCTGAAACCTGAAATTTATGTAGGTGTCAAAACAATTCCCGGAAAAACCGTTAAATGTATGTTGAGAAATGCCTCCTGACCATCTGGTTGCTCTGCATAAACAACCCCTCCCGCATTCCCTGATCTCCGCATGAACTCCCCAGTTCAAACAAGGTATATAAGCTCTGCTTAAGTTGTTCTCGGGCTCTCTGCTCCTCTCAAGTGAGCTCTGAGCCCCAGCATGCTGGACCCCCAATAAACCCTCTGCTGTTGCATGAGACAGTCTCTTGGTGGTCTCTTCCTCTGACGCTTGCCCGACCTTAACAACAGGAAAGGAGTTCTCTAGGATTCTCAGGCAGGGGATCCCCTTGGGGCAATGCACCCATCCCAATAGCCCTCTTTCTTCTTCATCGTGTGCCAGACTCTGGGCTGGTGCGGTAAGGTATTCACACTGCGGGGCCGAGACCGGACGGACTCCGCGCCAAGTGACTCCGTCTTCCAGGACCTTCCAGTCACACCACATTTGTCAGTGACCCACGGATCCGGAGGCGTTTCTGTGGCTTGCCCGGCTCTGGACTACGTTTCCCAGCAGTTAAATCCAATTCTGCTTCCAGGGCGAAGAGGCCTTGCGTAATCGTCCTCGTTCCGGGGCTGGGCGCAGGTTTGCAGAGCAGCGGTGGCACGGAGAGCCCAGTTAAAGCCTTCTAATGGACGTCCGGAACTCTTTGAAGCTCTTACCCAAACACCTAGACGGTGCTGGGCGTCGGTCTTTCCGAGAGAAGGGAAGGGACTCAAAGCCAAGGCCGGCGAACTGAGGCCCTCTCGGGACTACACTTCCTAGCGTGCACCGCGGCCACGCAACCGCCAGTGCACGCTCCGCACCTTTAGGGACCGCAGACGGATCGCATGAGAGTCCGCGCGGAACGTTCCAGGATTCCAGGGGGCTTCGCGTTCGGGTAGGTGAGTCCGACACCCGGAAGCGGAATGACACCGGCGGAGTCCGAGGATTTGGGGAGTGAGGGGCTTTGCCAGCGAGGGCGCCTGGAGGAAACTGGGCTTGTGTGCGCCTGCCCGAGGGAGCACTGCGGGAGGGAGCCTGGGCAGGGGGTGTCAGATTGGTACCGGAGCCAGACGTGGGAGTGACGCCCCCGAGCCATCGCGGAGTGATTCCGTGCCCTCGATGGTGACCGGAACTGTGGGACATTTATGGACAATTTAAATGTGACTGTATGTACAGGGTTCTGAGTTTATGAGGGATCAGGTGTGTAAACGTGGTGGCAGCAGCCTCGGCCGGTTTAGTAAAAGACAGGCATTCCTGAAAGCGTGGACTGCTTTTTCTGTGCTGGAAGGTAACTGGATTGTAGAGGGCTGGCAAAGTAGGAGGAGGCAAGAGGAATCAGAGACAGTATAGACAACATATTCCAGGAGTTTCACTGTATTTAAGAGCAGAGAAATGGAGCAGCAACTGCGGAAGGTGGGAGAACAACTTGTCAGTATGCTTTTGGGAATGAGCCACAAGAGGGGAGAAGTACGGGCCGGCGTGAGCAAACCAGGCTCCTTTGGGGGACCACCCCAAAATTTCAAGAATGTAAAAAAGTCTAAAAGTGTAGCACAAAGTGAACCTTAAGTCCAAAATCTCAGAAAATAAAGGGAAAGAGCCTGTGTTTCATACATGTGAGCCACCGTCAGGTGTGACTAGTTAACATATAATCTCCTGGCGTGAAATTCAAAACTAGAGATTTTGGGAAAGGTGAAAGAAGAAGGGTCCAAAAGTCATAAAGAACAACTAGGCCATCTGCCCCATTTCTAGTTTTGGAGAGGTAATATTGGAGTAGTGAGGGTTGGTTTCTTTAGTATTCCCAACATTGGAAGTCTGAGGATGGAAGCCTTAAGAGTCATTGGGGTAGAATTATGGCCCTGAATATATCCACTTCCTAATCCGTATAAGCTGTGAATGTTACCTCATATAGCAAAAGGAACTTTGTAGAATGGATTAGGTTAAGAACCTTGAGATTATCCTATATTGTCTAATTGATTGCAGTATAATTGCATGTGTCCTTGTGCTTGCTTTTCATCACTGTCAAAATACCTGAGGAGTAAAAACTTAAAGGAGGGAAGATTTGTTTCATGGTTGAGGGTTTCAGTTCACTGTCATCTGGATCCATTGATTCTGGGCCTGTGTGGGATACAGCACATAATAGTGGAGAAGGTGTGGATGAGCAAAGCTGCTTACCTTTTGGCAGCATTAAAGAATGTGACAGAAAAGGAGCCAAGGACAATATACAGTTCCCACGTCCTTTCACTAGATCCCACCTCCTAGTTTCTGTCATCTCCCTATAGTTCATTCAGCTATGAATCCATCACTGGGTTAATCCATTGATGAGGTTGAGAATCTCATGATCCAATCACTTCTCTAAAGCACCAGCTCTGAACACTGCTGCATTTTGGGGACACATTCCAAATCCAAGCCATTATAGCCCTTAAAATTAATGCATCTTTCAAGGTTGAGTTTAGGGACAGAAGGAGATGGTTACCACAGAAGAATGGTCAGAGAGATGTATGTAACTACTGGAGATTTAATTTTGCTCGCCAGAAGGAGGAAGGGGGCCATGATGATGATGATGGCCCCTGGAGGTGGAAAGTCCATTACAAGGAAATAAGTTCACTTGTAGAGTCTCCAGAAAGGAACACAACACTCCCCACTGAACCTTGATTTCATCCTAGAAAGACCCATCTCAGCATTTTTTATTATAATGTAGTGTTTAATTTTAAGGCACCACACTTGTAGTAATTTGTTAGAGTAATAGTAATAACTGATACATTGATGTAGTATCTTAGCCTCAGTACTGGGGAGTCTTGATCCCTGTGACATAAGGTAAGCTCAATCTCTGTTGATAATGTTGAAGACTTCAGGAAAAGGACATGCACAAAATCCTTTTATTTTAGGATAATTTATAAAATTTTTATTTTTAATACATTGAGTTATCTAATAGTGGGATTCATTTTGACATATCCCTAAATACATGTAACATAATTTTCTCAATCTCCAGTACTATCCTCTTCTCTTTCCCCTTCCTATACTCTATTGGTCTTCTCTCTCTCTCTCTCTCTCTCTCTCTCTATATATATATATATATATATATATATAATATAAAATATTTTTCTTTTTCAATTGCAGTTGGGCACAATACCTTTTATTTATTTATTTTTATGTGGTGCTGTGGATTGAACCTAGGGCCTCACACATGTTAGACGACCTCTATATCACTGAGCACCAGCCCCAGTCCTGTTTTTTAATTGGTGAGTTACAATTACATATAAAATTAGAATGAACTGTGATACATTCATGTATACATATAGCATAATTTGGTCAGTATTATTCCCCAGTTCTTCCCCTTTGCCTTCCTTTCTCCCTTACTTGGTCTCCTACTAATTCTCCACTGCTTTCCCTTCTATTCCCCACACGTTTTAAAAATTCCTTTTTTCCCCACTAGCTTCCGCATGAGAGAAAACATTCAACACTTGACTTTCTAAGTCTGACATATGTCACTTAGCATGATATTTTCCAATTCCATTGATTTACTAGCAAAGGACGTAATTTCACTCTTTTATTTAAATTTTTATTTTTTTAGTTGTAGTTGGACACAATACCTTTATTTTATTTATTTTTATTTATTTTTATGTGGTGTTAAGGATCGAACCCAGAGCCTCCCATGTGCTAGGAGAGCGCTCTACTGCTGAGCCACAACCCCAGCCCCCACCTCCCCATTTCACTCTTCTTTATGGCTAAGTAGAATGCCATTGTTTATATAGGCCACATTTTCTTTATCTATTCATCTATTGATGGGCACTTAGGTTGGTTTCATAACTTGTCTATTGTGGATTGTGCTGCTATACACATTGCTTTGTAGGTATCTCTATACCTACAAAGATTTTAGATCTTTTAGATAAATACCAAGGAATGGGGAAGCTGTGTCATATGGTGATTCTATTCCTAGTCATTCCTAGTCAGTTTATTCCTAGTCTATACTGTTTTCCAAATTGGTTGAACTGATTTTAGTCCCACCAACAATGTATAAGTTTAGCTTGTCCCCTACATTCCTGTATGCAATTACTGTTGTTTGTATTCTTGATGATTGCCATTCTGACTAGGGTGAAATGAAATCTCAGTGTAGTTTTGATATACATCTCCTTGATTGCTAAGGATGTTGAACATATTTTCCTATATGTGTTGGCCATTTGTATTTCTGTTGAGTTCTCTTTAGATATATCACCCATTTATCCATTTAGTATTCTTAGTGGTAAGTATTTTGAGTTCTGTATGTATTCTGGTTATTAATCCCATCAGATGACTACCTGACAATGATTTTCCTCCATTCTGTAAGCTCTCTTCACATTCTTAATTGTTTCCTTCATTTTGCAGAAGCTTTTTAATGTAATACTATTCCACTGATAACTTCTTGAGCTTTAGGGATCTGAGGAAGTCAGTGCCTATGCCAGTATGTTGGAATGTTGTTCATATATTTTCTTCCAGGAGTTTCACTGTTTCAGGTTTCTGATCTTCTTTGGGTTGATTTTTCATGATAGAATCTAGTTTCATGCTTCTACATATGGCTATCCAATTTTTACAGTACCATTTGTGAAACAGGCTATCTTTTTCTGCAGTTTATGCTTTTGGCACCTGGCAAGGATCTGCTGACTATGTTTATGTGCATTTGTCTTTATGTCTTCTAGTTTATTATGTTGGTATTCATATATAGTTTTATGTCAATACCATGCTGATTTTATGACTATAGGCATGTAGTACATTTTGAGATCAGGTGTTGTGATACCTGTATCCTCACTTGCTTAAAAAATATTTTTTAGTTGTTGATGTACCTTTATTTTTTATTTATTTATATGGGGTGCTGAGGATCGAACCCAGTGTCTCACACATGCTAGGCAAGTCCTCTGCCATTGAGCCACAACCCTAGATCCTGTATCCTCACTCTTGTTGGTCATAATGGCTTTGGTTTGTCTTGCTCTTTTATTTTTCCATATTATATTTTTAATATAATCAAAATGGCATTATTACCAAAAGCAATTTATGGATTCAATGCAATTTCTATCAAAATACCAATGGTATTTTTCACAAAACTAGTAAAACTAGTAAAAATAGTTTTTCACTAGGTTTTTTTTACTTATTATATTTTTAATATAATCAAAATGGCATTATTACCAAAAGCAATTTATGGATTCATTGCAATTTCTATCAAAATACCAATGGTATTTTTCACAAAACTAGTAAAAAAAAACTAGTAAAAATAGTAAAAATAGTTTTTTACTAGTTTTTTTTTTACTAGTTTTGGGAAAAATACCATTTTGATTATATTAATTCTGCCTGTTTATGAATGGTAGTCTTTCCATACTCTAAGTCTTTTTCAATTTCTATCTTCACTGTTTTATAATTTTCATTCTAGAGGTCTTTACAACCTCAGTTGGATTTATTCCAAAGGTTTTAAAAATTCTGTTGTGAATGGAATAGTTTTCTTTATTTCTTTCTAATTATTGGACTATGGGAGAACTAATTTTTGGGTGTTGATCTTATATCTTGCAACTGTGTTTAAATTGATTATTAGCTCTAGAAGTCTTCTGGGATTTTTTTGGTCTTCTAAATAGTATCAGCAAAGAGGAGTAGTTTGGCTTCTTTTCTTGTTTTTGTCCCTTTTATTTCCTTCTCTTGCCTGGTTGTTCTGGCTAAAGTTTCAAGAAATATTTTGAATAGGAGTGGTGAGAACAGACATCCTCATCGTGGTCCTGATTTTGGAGGAAATGCTGTCAGGATTTTTAAAATATTATTCTTAGTTGTAGATAGATAAAATAAAGTTTTATTTATTTTTATGTGGTGCTGAGGATCGAACCTAGTGCCTCATGCATGCTAGGCAAGCCTTCTACCACTGATCCACAACCCCAATCCTACT